GGAGTTAGAATTACTATTCCAGGAAAGGAGAAATATCAGGCCTGAGATGTGCAGGACAGAGAGACAGCCAACATGTAAGAGTCAGGAATCAATGCTCAGGACTGCTGCAGACCTGGGCCCAGAGCAACCAGGATGGTATATAGGTTTTAGTAAGGAATATCAGAGGGGAGAGTGTACTAGCCACACAGAGGTTTAGAAGTGGCCCAGACATTGAGCTGATTAAGGCATATTAAATATAAGACTGTGTGTATGTATCTTTCATTCAGGAACCCAGAACATTAAGCGAGTAGTGCACTACCTGAAGGGCAATTTGAACAGGATTAATTACCTACAGCAACAAGAGTTTCTTTGATGTCCATCATCTTCTTTGAAGTAAATTGGGGGTACTGCCAGAAGCAGACCTATGGTCAAAAGATACTTTAATAATGAAACAATTTTAAATGCCATATTCTCTGGATCTCTGAAGCTTTTCAAAGACCAATTATCTATCTATTGTATATCTAAATTGTCAAACATTATTTATTCTTAGCTATTTGCTACCTGAATAATATTGAAATCACCTTATTATAGTAAGTGTTTGTAATAGTCATTTTTAAAAGACTAGAACTTTACATCATATCTTCAAGAATTATATAGGCACAATTTCTCATGTAAAACCTGAAAACATATATACATTATATGTTTCAAAATTAACTTTAAATATGCATCAATATATAATAACCTATACCAATGTATCACAAATAATCTTATTTCTGTATCAATATACAAAATTCTGTACCAATGTATCAAAAATATAACTCTGATTTTGCATTAAATACAAATATTTATACCAATGTAAGATTATGGCAATAAAATATTTTTGTTTAAGAGTAGATTCAATAATCCACTCCTTTTTTCTTATAATACATATAATAATCCTATATTCCCTCTTTTTCTTCTTAATCCCCTTTGCCTTACCTAAGAAACAAAGAATAGAGGAAAAAAAAAGAAAAGACAAAAAGTAATCCCTGAATCTAACTTCCCTATTTCATCTCATCCCAGTCCAAAGCTATAACTATTTATAACCAGCCCTTATTAAAAGATTACAAGCATTTAACACCCACTGAATTACCAAAAATAATTACTCCCCCTCTTGGGAACATGGTGTATTTTTCTTATAATTGCTTCCTGTTGATTTTGGACATAGAATTTCTTTTTGAGGGCCCCCTCAAAATTAGAAAAATTGTTACTCTTAAGAAAGCTAACTGTAGCATTTGTTGAGAAGTCTTTATGTGCTAAGAAAGTTCAAGGCTTAACTGAAGTCCAGACTGTAACAATCTGTGATGCTGAACCAAGTGAACTAGCTGTTTTGAAGTTGTCATTTAAGCAAATCTTTAGGGGAAACAGAATTATTGTAGTTTGAGGTAAGATTATGCAGGAAGCTGGAACAGTAAGTCTCAGCATTTCTGTTCAGCATATCCAAGGAAGAAACTTGTCAGAGCTGTACTCTTGGTTTCATGGTTGTGTTTATTGTTAGTTTTGTTGTTGTTGTTGTTGTTGTTGCTGTTGCATTGGGTGATATTTTTATAACATAAAGCTTTCAGAGGTAATATATATTTCTGCCTTAACATATGAACTGTGCAATGAGCACAGATTAGTTAATGATGGGTTTTTTTTTTTTTTTTTTTTTTTTTTTTTTTTTTTTTTTTTTTTTTTTGCTCGTTTGAGCAAGTAAAAGACATCTATCTTTCTTTATAAGTTAGTTTGGATTGCAACTAAAAATGCAACGTAAACCTCAATCTGTGCCATAGGAAAGAATGGAACGTTGAGTCATTAAGGCCCTATAGCCAACAAGATCCATTGGCTATGTACAGTTGAAGTTGTGGCTGGAGATATATATATGCCGCAGTCATTTTCAAAGTTGTTTTAATAGTTGTTTTAGCATTATACATTATGCATTCCATCCGTTTGATTTTTTTTTCCTTTCATTCTGCAACCAAAATCTTCAGAATATCTCTCTTTATCAAATCTGATACTTGTTACTTTTAGTGGAAAGTAACAAAGCCTTTTCTCCTTTTTTGTTGACACAAAAACAAAGCCTCCCTCCCAACATAACCTACACTTTGTCTAGCAGTTTGATGTCGTCATAAGTATAGACTGATTACTCAAGCAGTCCCTTTTCTAGCCTAGTCTGCTCCATTTTGACCTCTCTCAAAGAAGATATACAACACCACATTACCACTGACCATACAACCATTCTCATATTGATAAATCAAATCAAGATTGTAGGGAGTCCAAATATTCTTCTATACAATGATATATATTTATTATTATTTATTGAGACAGGGTTTATCTGTGTACTCCAGGCTGCTCTAGATTTGCTCTGTAGATCAGGCTTGCCTCAAACTTAAAAAGACTCTCTCTCTCTCTCTCTCTCTCTCTCTCTCTCTCTCTCTCTCTCTTTTTCTCTCTCTTTCCCTTCCTCCCTCCCTTCTCCCCCCTCTCTGTCTTCCAGGTATTGGTATCAGAGTCTTGAGTCTATTTAATAATTATGTATACGCTTGAGGACATTTATATCAATTTTATCTCTTACTTTCTTCTTTGGAGATTTAGTTTTATGTGAATTTATCCCTTTTTTGTCTGTTTGTTTAATATTCTCTCATGTATTCAACTTTATTTAAATTCCTTTACATCTCAGTGCCCAAGTATTCCCTTACGCATATTGTATAACCATATCACATTTTCTCTATGACATATGTGTTCATTTGATTGATTTATCCTTTCTGCCTTCCTGATGTCCTACCTCCTATTTCATGCCTAAGCTGTAGGCCATCATTCTTTTTTATTGACAGATGCCATGTATACAGACATAAGATATTCTCTTTGTACCCAAAGTAGACAAAATAAAAACAAAAAGAAAACCAACCTCTAACACATTCAAGTTCAGAAAACAATAAAAATGCCATAACTTCTTAACCCACCACAAATAGACATTACACTATGAGCAGAATTATGCTTTAGGTGTTGTTTCTGAATAGAATGTCTCCAAAGATCTTACCGTAACTCATAGTGACTGGCCTCAAAATCCTTCTTTTGAAAATTTAGGTGGGAATTCCCATGACCACACACCTCTCTCATTCTTCATTTAGAAAAGAATAGAAAAAAAAACATTATTTAAATGTTTAAAACATGCTTTATTAAAAATTATTCCAAAAATAACAGTTTGAGAAGGCTTGATGAACATATGGAGAAACTTTTAAAGATAAGAATTAAACAAGCATTTCTCTCTTAGCATCATAACAATAACAAATGATTGGAAACATAATTTGTGATTATTATAAATTGGATGTATTCCCCAACCTACAAATCCAAAAGTTCATTTGTTAGTCGACTGATCATTTCTCTTTTTTTTTTCAGTTTTTAAAATTGTATTCACTTTTTGTTTTGTTTTCAGTAATCTTTTTTTAATAAATTAATTTATTCTTTTATACTCCAGATTTTATCCCTCCACCCCTTTCACCCTTCAACTGCTCTGCATCCCATACCCCCACCCACACAACTGTCTCCAGGAGGCAGTTCCTACCTCCCATCCCTAACCCCATCTGACCTCCATACTCCCTGGGGCCTCCAGTCTCTTGAAGGGTTAGGTGCATCATCTCTGATTGAACACAGATCCTGCAGTCCTCTGCGGTATATGTGGATATCAGTTGGTGTATGCCGCCTTTTTAGTGGTTCAATATTTGAGAGATATTGGGGATCAAGATTAATTGAGACTGCTTTTCCTCCTACAGGGTTGCCCTCCTCCTCAGCTTCTTTCAGCCTTTCCCTAATTCAACCACAGGGGCCAGCACCTTCTATCTATTGGTTGGGTACAAATATCTGCATCTGACTCTTTCAGCTATTTTTGGGGTCTTCTGGGTGGGGCAGTAATGATAGATCCCTTTCTGTGAGCACTCCAGAGTCTCAGTAATAGTGTCAGGCCTTAGGACTTCTCCTTGAACTGGATGTCACTTTGCTTCTGTTGCTGGACCTTCTTTTCCTCAGGCTCCTCTCGATTTCCATCCCTGCAGTTCTTTCAAACAGGAATAAATATGGGTCAGAGTTTTGACTGTGGGATGGCAATCCCCTCCCTCATTTGTTACACTGTCTTCCTGCTGGAGGTGGGCTTTATAAATTCCCTCTCCCTGCTGTCAGGCATTTCATCTAAGGTCCCTCCCTTTTAGTCTGAGAGTCTCTCACCTCCCAGGTCTCTGTTGCATTCTGGAGGGACCCCCTGCTTCCTATGTCCCTAGATTGTCTATTTCTATTCTTTCTGCTGGCCCTCAGGGCTTCAGTCCTTTTCCCTCACCCAATACCTAATCAAGTTTCCCTTTCCCCCGACCTCTGTCCACTTTTCTTCCCAGGTCTCTCCCTCCTTCCCAACTTGTGATTGCTTTCTTCTCCCTTCCCAGTGGAACTGAGTTGTCCTCACTTTGGCCTTTCAGCTTTTTGAACTTTTTGAGTTCTGTGAACGTTATTCTGTACATTTTTGGCTAATATCCACCTATTAATGAATACATACCATGCATGTCTTTTGGGTCTGAATTACCTTACTTAGGATGTTATTTTCTAGTTCCATCCATTTGCCTGAAAAACTCAGGATTTCCTCATTCACCTGAGGTTTTAATCGTAGCCATTATTATTGGTATAATGTAGAAACTCAGTGTCATTTTGATTTGCATTTTTCTGATCACTAAGGACTTTGAGCATTTCTTTAGGTGCTTTTCAGCCATTTGAGATACCTCTGTTGTGAATTCTCAGTTTAGTTCTATATCCCAGTTTTTGATTCAGTTGTTTGATTTTTTTGGTGGTTAGCTTCTTGAAAGAAAAATATTTTTAAAAAATTTACAAAAGTCAGGCAAATTCTATCTGCTTAGGTGCAGACTAAACCAGTCTAAAGGACAGGTGAGTGAGCCCCTGCCACTCCCTATACTAGGTTCCTCAAGTCCTATTCTAAGGTCTCCTATCTCTTATCCTATCAGCTGCCATGTGGGAGGACCCCTGTCTCCAAATGGGGCAGACCTCAGCTGCTAAGGTGAAAGGCATACCAGTCAGAAGAACAAAGGAACCCATTACACCAGATGCCAATCTATCTATCAGAAGTCAAGCCCCAACCTGGTAAGAGACTACCTAGTATATCAGATATAAAACAGGCAGCAAGAATCTAGGCCTTTAACGAAGTCAAGAATACCAAAGAGGAAACACAAACCAAGGAACAAAATGTCCAACAAAGACAGTTTCAGAAATCAGCACCTAGAATTATAATCACAATAATCATCCCAAACCCACATAATTAAACACCAGTGTAAGAACACAATCAACAACAGCTGTGGTAATATGGTACCACCAGAGAGCAGCTAACCTGTAACATCAAGGCCTAAATATTTCAAGGCTGCTGAAGCACAAGGAAATGACCTTAAAACCAAGTTTCTGAAGATGATAGAGGTCCTTAAAGAGGAAATAAAAAAAATCCCTTGAAGAAATCATGGAAAAGAATGCCAAGAAAGCAAAGAAAAACAAACAAATAAATAAAACAAAACAAACAGGTGAAAAAAAAAACTGTTTGAATCCAAAAATGGAAATAGCAGCAATAAAGAAAACACAAACTGAGAGAAATCTAGAAATAGAAATTCTAGGTAATCAAACAGGAATTACAAATATAAACATTACCAACAGAATACAAGAGACCAAGAGACGGAAGAAAGCATCTCAGGGATTGAAGACACAATAGAAGAAATAGATGCATTTGTCAAAAAAAAAAAAAAGCTGACTCTAAAAAGTTTTCTAACACAAAGCTTCCAAGATATCTGGGACACTATGAAAAGACTAACCTTCTTGAGTTCTTTGAGTTCTTTATATATTTTGGATATTATCCCTCTATCGGATGTGGGGTTAGTGAAGAATTTTTCCTAATCTGTAGGTTGCCAGTTTTTCCTATTAACTATGTCTTTTGCCTTACCGAAGCTTTTCAGTTTCATGAGGTCCCATTTATTAATTATTGATCTTAGTGCCAGAGCCACTGGAGTTTTGTTTAGGAAATTTCCCTACTGTGCCAATGAAATGAGGATCTTTCCTACTTTCTCTTCTATTAGATTCAGTGTATCTGGTTTTATGTTGAGGTCATTAGTCCACTCGGACTTGAGCTTAGTGAAAGATGACAAATATGTATCCATTTTCATTTTTTCTACAGACAGACTACCAGTTAGACGACCACCACTGAAGATTCTTTCTTTTTCTATTGTATATTTTTGCCTTCTTTGTCAAACATTAAATGTTTTTAAATGTGTGGTTTTATTTCTGTGTCTTCAATTCTATTCCATTGATCAACCTGTCTGTCTCTGTACCAATGCCATGCAGTTTTTATCACTATTGCTCTGCAGTATATCTTGAGGTCAAGGATGGTGATTTCCCCCAAAAGTTCTTCTATTGTTAAGAATTGTTTTCCCTACTCTAGGTTATTTTGTTTTTCCAGATGAATATGAGAATTGCTCTTTTCACATCTTTGAAGAATTGTGTTGGGATTTTGATGGGGATTTTGTTGAATGTGTAGATTGTTTTTGGTAGGATGGCCAATTTTACTATGTTAATTCTACCAGTCCATGACCATGGGACATCTCTCTATTTCATTGACCACCAAAAAACAAAACAACCCAATCAGAAAATGGGATATAATACTAAACAGAATTCACAACAGAGGAATCTCGAATGGCTGAGAAGCACTTAAAGAAATCTTCAAAATACTTAAGTGATTAGGGAAATGCAAATCAAAATGATACTGAGACTCTACCTTATGCCAATCAGAATGGCTAAGATCAAAAACTCAGGTGACAGCACATGCTAGCAAGGATGTGGAGAAAGAGAAACACTCCTCCATTGCTGGTAGGAATGCAAACTGGTACAACCACTATGGAAATTAATCTGGAAGTTCCTCAGAAAATTGGAAATAGATCTACCTGAAGACTCAGCAATACCACTCTTGGGTATACACCTAAAAGATGCCCCACCATGCCACAGGGGCACATGTTCCACTATGTTCATAGTGGCCTTGTTTTTGATAGCCAGAAGCTGGAAACAACCCAGATGTCCCACAGGGAAGAATGGATTCAGAAAATGTGGTTCATTTACACAATAAAATACTACTCAGCTATTTAGAATGAGGAAATCCTGAGTTTTTCAGGCAAATGGATGGAACTAGAAAATATCATCCTGAGTGAGGTAACTCAGACCCAAAAGGATATGCATGGTATGTACTCACTAATGAGTGAATATTAGCCAAAAATTTACAGAATACCCAAGACACAATCTACAGAATTTAAGAAGGACCAAGTGATGATGCCTCAATCCCACTTGGGAGGGAGAAGATAGCTATGAAGGGGGGGAGGCAGAAGGAGGAAGGGATATTCATGAGAGAGGGGACAGAGAGGAGAAGGGTGGAACATGATCAAGTATTGGAGAGTGAACAGAACTGAAGCCCTGAGGGCCAGCAGAAAAAATGGAAACCGGCTACCTTGGGAGAGAAGAAGGAGGTGGGGGGACATTCTAGTATGTACTGGAGGCCTGGGAGGTGAGAGACTCTTGGACTCAAAGGGAGGGACTTTGGTTGAAGTGCTTTACAGTGAGGATGGGGAGTTTGTGGAGTCCACCTTCAATGGAGGGACAGGACATCAAGTGAAGGGATGGGGTTGTCATCCCACAGTAAAAAGCTCTAGCCTAGTATTGTTCCTGTCTGAAGAAACAGCATGGACAAAAATAGAAAAGAGCATGAGGGAAAGGAGGTCCAGTCACAGGCCCAAATTGGGTTCCAGCTCTAGGGGTAGTCCTGAGGTCTGACAAGATTACTGATGCTGTAGTGTGCTTGCAGATAGGAACCTAGCATGGCTCCAAGAGGCCCAACAATCAGCTGAAAGAGTCAGATGCAGATACTAGCACCCAACCAATAGAAGGAAGCAAAGACTCCTGTGGTTGAATTTGGGAAAGGCAAGAAGGAGCTGAGAAGGAGGGTGGCCCCATGGGAATACCAACTGTCTCAACTAACCTAGACCCCTGAGATTTACCAGACACTGAATCACTAGCCAAGGAGCATACAGGAGCTGATATGAAGCCACTGACACATAAACAAAAGAGGACTGCCTGATCTTGCCTAAGTGAGAGAAGATACACCTAACCCTTGAGAGACTTGAGCCCCCAGGGAGTGGAGAGCTCTGATGTGGTAGGGGTGGGAGGGTTGGGACATCCTCTTGGAGATTGGGGGTAGGGGTATGGGATGGGAAACAGTAGGGGGCAGACTGGGAGGGGGATGAAGACTGGATTGTAGGAAAGGATTAAACAACAAAAAAAAAAAGAAGAAAGAAAAGACTAACCTAAGAATAATAGGAATGGAAGAAGAATCCCAGATCAAGAACCCAGAAAACATACTTAACTGCTGGAGACCAGCTCCAGCTATAGGTTTCAGGTCCTGAGATGGGCAAGGTTTGTTGACCCAAAGTGAAGACACTTGTAGCCGCCTGCAGCCATGGATCAACTGGTTTCATCTGAAAGGGGGGAATGGAAATGAAAAACGGGATGGAGGGCAGGGCGAAAGGAAATAAAGCCAAGACAAAGTTCTCTGATCAAGGCTCAAAGTTTAACGTTCAGCTCTCAATTTAAAGGGAAAGCTCCACCACCAAACTCCTTCTTGCTTCAGCCAGAGAGGGGTGAGGAGACCCATCCTTGGTCACTGCTGGAGATGGGTGGGGAAACCCATCCTTTATCACAGCTGGAGATGTCCCAAGGCAAGTTCAGCAGGCAGTTATTCTTCTAAGTTCCTGTAGCAGGCTGTACGTGTAGCCAGGGTGGGTGACTCTACCTAGGTCTTATTATTTTTGGTCTATTGTGGTAAAAAAGGTCTTTCAGGCCTGCTCAAGCCTGGGGACAGGGCACCGACACTAACCACCTGTTGACTTTCAAATCAGTGGCTTCAAATAGCTTGTCTTTACTTATACAATCACAATCCTGCTCAACTGAGTGTGACATCATTAGTTATTTTATTAAAATAAATCATAACATCAGAATTATAGAAGCTCTGTCACTACAACAAGCCCCCAATAGTTTTCCTTCCTTCTTCCCCATCTTGCTGAGTGAATTACACCTAACCTTATTTTTCCCTACAAAGCATAATTTCAACAATCCAAACATAAATGTTTAGCCAGGGATGACTTGTAGACATGAGCACATACCTAGCTAGTAGCAAATATGGTTAAATAGTTATGCAAAGTGAGAGACAGATTAAACACTGTGGGTATAAGTCCAGTCATCAAACAGCACTCCTCTGTCATAATACTTTTTAAATTGCATCCAGAGACATGTTCATTGTAGCAAGTAACCTTTCCTGATAGGTACCTATCAATTCCTGATACCATATTTTCCAGAATCATTTTTAAGTCTCTACTGATCAAACATAGCTTCCCTATTTTCTAAGTCTCTGTTGATCAGACATAGCTTCTCTTATTTTAAGTTTCTGACAGAGAGCTAATATCCAAAATATATAAAAAAAAAACCTCAAGAAACTAGACATCAACAAGCTTAAATAATCCAATTAAAAAAAAAAATGGAGTACAGACCTAAACAGATATTCTCAACAGAGAAATCTCAAATGACAAAGAAGAACTTAAAGAAATGTTCAAAATCCTTAGCAATCAAAGAAATACAAATCCAAACAGCTTTGAGACTTTGCTCACATCTGTCAGAATGCCTAAGATCAAAAACACAAGTGACAGCTCATGGCTCTTGTTGGCTAGGATGTGGACCAAAGGGTACACTCCTCCAATTCTGGTTGGAGTACAAACTTGTTCATCTACTTTGGAAATCAATATACCAGTTTCTCAGAAAATTTGGAATTGATTAACCTCAAGACACATCTATAGCATTCCTGGAATTATACCCAAAGGATGCTCCATCTGATCACAAGGACACTTGCTTAACTATGTTCATAGCAGCTTTATGCATAATAGCTATGCAATGGTTTGTATATGCTTGGCCCAGACAGTGGCACTAGTAGAAGGTGTGGCCTTGTTGGAGTAGGTTGTCCCTGTGGATGTGGGCTGTAAGACCTCATTCTAGCTGCCTGGAAGTCAGTCTTCCACTTAATAGCCTTCAGATCAAGATGTAGAACTCTCAGCTCATCCTGCACCATGCCTGCCTAGATGTTGCCCTGCTCCCACCTTGATGATTATGGTTTGAACCTATGAGCCTGTAATCCAGCACAATTAAATGTTGTCCTTTATAAGACTTGTCTTGATCATGGTGTCTGTTCACAGCAGTAAAACTCCAAGAAAACCCAGAAACTTGAAATAACTTAGATGTTCCTCAACTGAAGAATGAATAAAGAAAATGCAGAATATTTATACAATGGAGTATTACTCAGATATTAAAAAGAATGATATCCATAGGAAGACCAGCAGTCTCAACTTACCCAGACCCTAGGGAGCTCCCAGAGACTGAGCCACCAACCAGGTACAAACAAGGGCCAGTCTGAGGTCCCTAGCACAAATATAGTAGAGGTCTTCCTTGTCAAGCCTTAGTGGGTGAAGATGTGCTTAATTCTCAAAGGACTTGAGGCCCCAAGGAAGAGGGAGGCCTGTGCAGGATAGCACCTTCTTGGAGGCCTGGCAGAGTAGGAATGGATTGAGGAACTGTGGGAGGGGAAAACCAAGAGAGGGTCAATGATGGAAACATAAATAAATAAAATAATAAAAATTTTTAAAAAAATGACATTATGAAATTTTAGGCAAATGGACATTTATACATC